AAACCCTAAGCCGCGAATCCCTAAACCCTGAACATAAAACCTAAACCACAAAGAAGAAGCCCAACAAGCAACAAGAGGCATAACAAACAACACCACAACTCCAACAGCAATAACAACAAAAAGAACCCACACGCCAGAACCCCGATCTAAACGACAATAACAACAAGAACAAGAAGAAGAGCAACAACAACAACAACACCAACACCAACACCAACACCGACACCAACTCCGGCACCAACTCCGGCACCAACTCCGGCACCAACTCCGGCACCAACTCCGGCACCAACTCCGGCACCAACTCCGGCACCACCACCACCACCACCACCACCACCACCACCACCACCACCACCACCACCACCACCACCACCACCACCACCACCACCACCACCACCACCACCACCACCACCACCACCACCAAACATAACGACCGCAAACAACAACCAACATCAACATAAACTTAACAAACTAACAACGAACTAAGTCAGCAGAAGAACATTCACGACGAAGCCCTGCCCGACACACCACCCTCCCGACCACCCTCCGTGACCGGCGCAGGCTCGGAAGAAAGCAACCCAAAACACTCCAGAAGGGTAGACCAAGCTCACTCGCCGTGAGTCTCACTCTTCCTCGCCGGCTCCGGGTCGTGTGTCCGGCCTCTCGGCGCTCTCGATCATGGACGGGCCATGGAAGCCAAACCAGAGGGCTCTCCCAGGAGGGTCGGCCATGGAATTGCTTCCCCAAAGGGCGCTGCCAAGAAAGAGGTCCACACTAGCATCACCGGGTCTTTGGATGAGCCCTCCTGCACAGCCAACCGCGAGGTCCAGCCCCACCCATCTCCCACAATCCAGTATTCGGAGTGGTTACCGACACGGGGCCAGCTGAGCTGCCTTTCGTGCCGGATGATGAGAGGACGAGTGGTTAACTGAGAGTGTCCGGCGCCACAATCCTCTTCACCACAAGTGCCAGCGCACAGAAGCCCACCAGCCCACCGACCCGCTCCGACATACCAAGCAGGCAACACACGATTCACCAACAAGCTCGGCAGAAACAGTCCGTCAACAAAGTCTCCAACCACTTCATCCCGCCATTAATTACAGCCAATCATCCATGCACCACATCAGCAGCAAACAAAGACTCCGTAACAGTCTGCACAGTCCGAAACTTTTGCGGGACCTTGACCGCACTGGTGCTTGGTCCCGCACGCCAGCACTTAGCGCGGTGCAACTCCTCCATGACTGCCAGCTCTTCCTGCGCTGTGGGTCGGGGTGGTAGGATTCTGTAGATCCGGGGATTCACGGAGTCTTTGAGGTGGCATTTGGGATCCCGCGATGGTGAGAATGATGAAGAAACCTATCACTATTGGAAAGTGCAACAAGTGTTGCACAGCAAGTCTGAAAGTCCAGAATACGAACATTGCGAAAGAAGCGCTTCAAAGTGGTGTCTTGCAGTTCTTGTCAAGTGCAGTGTCTGGCCAGACTCATGCGAAGCCCAATCGGTGGCATAGCTCTCCAATCAGTGAAACTACACATACTCCAGCTTCGAGGTCAATGGCACATGCGGGATGATTTGCCGGAGAGAGCTCTAACTGACTGACGCCAACAAAGAAGGAACTCCGAAGCGAGACCCGAAGCAGACGTTTGTTTGGCACACGCCTCCCAACTTCCCCCCTGCGCAGTCTAAACCAAACTGGCAAACCCATTCTTACGGTACATTTCGGCTATACGCTACCTCAGGCTTTGAGAGCCCGTCTTATCCAAGTGCACACCAGCCGCAGGCCTCTGCCGCCACGGCTTTCGCCCTTGTGACGATTCCGCTTCCATTTGCGTCCTTGGAATGAGGATCCTTCCTGCTACGAGTTTAGGATACGATCCCTTGCTTACGCCAGTTTCAGTTCTGGCATACCTTTGACTCCAAGCCTCGGGAACCCCTGGCAGCCGTTTCGAAGCCCGGGACGTTTATGAACACAACGTTTTGAAAGGTTCGAGCGGCACAAGGCTCCGGACGTCTACGGGAACATAAGGCGAACAAGTCCAGATTACTGCACAAACCACGGTCATTCTTCTTGCACTCTAGGTTGGACTCAACATCCCCCCAACCATCCCCAACCCAAGCTCTAAAGAATTCATGTCAACCTCCGATTACTGGATCTCCTTTATTTCGACTCGCACACTCGCTCTCGCAGGCACAGCTCCAGGGTCTTCATAAACACCCAAGACCCAAAATCATCCAAAGAGGAGTCCGTCAAGCCATGCCGGGACGCCGGAACTCATCCACACCGATCTTGCTGTTGGTGATCCTTGAGTTTTTCCAATTCAACTGGCTTAGGGTTTAGAGTCCTAAACCCTAAACATTCTTGCTTTAGGGCTTTGACTGGGTTCTAGAGTTTTCTAGGGTTTAAACCCGCGCTTGGGGCTAACCACCCCAATTTACTTAAACCTAAACAAACCCCGCCTATTCTTGTGGTCTGGAGCCCTGGCCGGGTCTGCTCTCAGGGCCGCAATGTTCCAGCCGCTGTCCACGCATTTAATGAAATTTGAGATAACCGTACGGGTTAAGGTTTAGGGAGGGTGTCGGGTTGAGAGTTTTAGGGGTTGCGGTTTGGGGCTTCAGGGCTGCGGTGTACCCGCAGTGGGCGCAGCTCCACCGCTAAGGAGAAGAGCAGAGACAACAAAGAAGGAACCCCGTGAGATGCTGGCGAACACCACGAGCTCAATGAACCTCGGGACAATTGGGTGGAATGCTCGTGTAACACTGGTCTGTTTGGAGAACAGCTCGGAACTCTGCAGTGCCGTGTATGCCTGCACATGGTCCTCTGTGTTAATCTCGATCGGCGCGAATATGCCCAAGCTCCTACACTAATCAGTAGGCTAGTGGGCCCTGTAGCCCGGGCTGGGCACAGGGCCTTCTCGTGATTCCAAAACCCGTGGCAGCAAAGCCAGGAAGCCTCGGCGCTAGGATCCACATGCCTGCTGCAGGGCTCCAGGCCTGGGATCTCAAGGAATGTATCGACCCGCTTACGCCAAAGGAGCATGTTTTCCGATGGTAAGTTGCTTGACATGTTACAAGCAGCTCATGTTGGCAACGATACGCTAAGATTCCATTCGGCCACAGCTACCCCCTCGCTGGAAGCTGTCCACCAAAACCTCCTCATGCTGAAGCACTTGTGCAACAAGCATGTTCGAACAACGCGGTGTCAACCTTCGTTTTACGTCCCAGAGAACAGAAAGGACATCGGGAATCGCCTACCACATCGCAACGAAGGGACTCTGAACTACAAGGTGAGCTGATGGCTTCTGGTTCTCAAGCTGTGTATTCTTTAACTCCCGGAGCCAGGAACCCGACGCCGTCTCGCCAGGAATCAGCACGTCGGCAAACAGTCAGGCGTGCTTGCTGGCTGCGAGGCCTGCATGCAGGCATGCGCAGGCGCAAATTTCTCGAGATCGAAGTTCTGTCCGGAGACTCCAGGTTTAGGGTTCAGGGCTTAGGTTGGGGTACCAGTCTTGTTTGCGCCTGAACCTTCGAGTGAGAAAACCTGAATAAAATGAGAGCATTGCTTGCTGGCGTAGGGAGTAGTTAGGCCACACGAACCTGGCACCGGAAAGCTGCAATAAACCCCCCACACCCTTGCGTGATAATGTCTTTGATGTTCATTTCTGTGTCGAGGCACACAAACATTTCGTAATTTGGGCATGAGGTTTTTCCAGGAAGTAATGCAGAAAAGGGAGAGAGCCACAAAGAGTGAGAGAGAAAAGATAAACACAGAACAGTGAAGGACACAACGACAGACAGAGAAAAAGTCAAGGAGGAAGGAGCCAACCAAAACAAAACGAATGAAGCAACGAGTTGATGCACTAACGAAGCTATAATACGAAGGAAAAAGAAACCAATGACAGTTTGCTTAACAGCGGACATGAACACATGATTTTCTAAACGTTTTGACATTCAGCTGGTGTATGCATGCATGCATGTTTGCAGGTGCGCATGTACACGTGCGTATGTATGCATGTTGACATGCATGTGTGTTGAAACGTATGTGCAAACTCTATGTGGCGGAGTGCATTGGTGTGTATGATTGTGTATGCACGTATGCAGCTGGGGCCGGGGCGCCTCGTGGAGGCACTTGGCAAATCCGTCTACAGAACACGCAGAACACTCCAAGCCCTAAATGCGTCTCAAAGCCTCAAACCCTCAATGCATCTAAATCCTAGACCCTAAAAGCCTAACCCTATCAACCCTAAAGCCTCAAACCCTAAACCCTGAAAGCCACACACCGAGAGTTCGGTCCTGGCCCGTGCTGCCGCGCAGCAGTGGTGCCTCGCCTCACCTGCCACGATGGCGGACGGTTTCGGCTTTAGAGTTCAGGGTTTAGGGTTTTTTAGAGTTTAAGGTTTTTTCCTTCATACTTGGCAAGGACAAGGCCCGCATTAAGGTTTCGGCGCTCACACTCGGACAATCCATAGGCCTTCACAAGAAACTCCAAGTTCTTGGCGAGCTGGCCGAATCCCTCGCTGGGATCACCGGCGTTCTCCATCATGGGCTTTGACATGCTGTTGAACTCTCGGTCGAAAGCTTGAAGGACCACAGGGAGCCAAGCTTCATTGATGTCAGTAGGGAGAGCTCCTGGAAGATTCAGCTCATCCACCGATGGCGCTAAAGGATTTTGAGCTGGAAAGTGTCTGCTATCAAAAAAATCAATCTCCCTTTCAAGTCTTCAAAGACTGTGTGGAACCTCAAGCTGAGTCCAGAAAAGCAAGCTCTCAATGAGGCTACACACTTTTTCGGCAGCAGGCATTCACTGTTCCTAAGCAGTGAGCCACTTCACTGAGAGCCGGTCACGAGCTTCCAGTTCAGGTACTCCATGCTTGTCCACATCTCGTCTTCCGAGAGTGCCCGGTTCCACGTGATGACCTCCATCACACCGAAATCCGAGGCTTCATTGGCGAAGCCCTCATTGATGTACAAGTGGAAGTCTTCGCCGTTTGGATGACCGTGGTTCACAGCGATATTGCGCCGTTCGTTGCCCACGTAGACAACCCCCTTATTGTTGCCACACATCACAAGCCAATCGGTATTGCTCGGATTTTCATGGGGTGTGACCCAGCTGCTGTAATAAGCCACACCTGTTTGATGACTCCAGTGGCCATGGAGGAAATTGGGATGGTGACCAGATTGCAGAATGCGGCCCATTCTGCCTCCGGCGGCATAACGGGAGATGGAACAAATTGTGAAGTCCGGCTTCATGATCTTGCCAAAGTCATATCCGGCATTGCTGTCGCCGGCCAAGTAGCCCACAGGCTCTGTCGCCCCGTTTCCGGCCTCGACCTTCCTGGTGATGCTGCCCTTGGTGACACGAGCCTGCCAGCCGCCCACTGCGCTCTTCCAAGCTGGACTGGCGTCCTCGCTCTTGAACCAAGCCACCATGGACAGCTTGTCAGCTGGTTGATATGGAATCAAAGCCTTGGTTCGGAAGAGTTGGGCTTTCGATGAAAAATGCTCATGCCATGAATGGAGCAGGTTTCCTACTGAACGTGCCATGGACAGGACTGTCGTTCAGTTTTTCATCCTTCCAACCTGGATTTTCCAATTCAGGTACTCCATGCTCGTCCACATCTCGTCTTCCGAGAGTGCCCGGTTCCACGTGATGACCTCCATTACACCGAAATCCGAGGCTTCATTGGCGAAGCCCTCATTGATGTACAAGTGGAAGTCTTCGCCGTTTGGATGACCGTGGCGAACGGCGATGTTCTTCGCATCCTTGCCGACGAAGACAACCCCCTTGTTGTTGCCACACATCACAAGCCAATCGGTACTGCTAGGACTTAAATGACCCGTGACCCATGTGTGGTAATGAGCCACACCTGTTTGATGACTCCAGTGGCCATGGAGGAAGTTGGGACTAGGACCACTTTGAAGAATGCGGCCGCGTGTGCCTCCCTCAAGATAGCGGGTGATGGAACAAATCGTGAAGTCCGGCTTCATGACCTTGCCGAAGTCTAAGCCGGCGCTGGTGCTGCCGTCGAGGTACGCCACAGGTACTAAAGCCCCACTGCCTGCATTGAACCTTCTGGTTACACTGCCCTTGGTGACGCGGGCCTGCCAGCTGCCCACTGCGCTCTTCCAAGCTGGACTGGCATCCTCGCTCTTGAACCAAGCCACCATGGAAGACTCTGCAGATGGCCGATGTGCCAGGTGTGCCTGAGTTCAAGCTTCTGGCTATGTGCTGACGATCAGAAGGACCGTTACAGAGCGTCAATCAAAATTGGATGTGTCAGTTTAAGCTCAAGCTTGTACTGCAGCAAGCAGCACTGAACTTCTACGTGCAGCCTTCCCAGCCTGGAGCTTCCAGTTCAGGTACTCCATGCTTGTCCACATCTCGTCTTCCGAGAGTGCCCGGTTCCACGTGATGACCTCCATCACACCGAAATCCGAGGCTTCATTGGCGAAGCCCTCATTGATGTACAAGTGGAAGTCTTCGCCGTTTGGATGACCGTGGTTCACAGCGATATTGCGCCGGTCGTTGCCCACGTAGACAACCCCCTTATTGTTGCCACACATCACCAGCCAATCGGTATTGCTCGGAACGTCCCAGCGCGTGACCCAAGTGTTGTAATGAGCCACACCTGTGCGCTGCCCATGGTGGCCATGGAGGAAATTAGGCTGAAGACCGCATTGAAGAATGCGGCCCATTCTGCCTCCGGCGACATAACGGGAGATGGAACAAATCGTGAAGTCCGGCTTCATGATCTTGCCGAAGTCGTATCCGCTGTTCGGGTCGCCGGCGAGGTATGCCACCGGTCTTGTAGCCCCGTTTCCAGCTTCGACCTTTCTGGTGACGCTGCCCTTTGTCACGCGGCCCTGCCAGTTGCCCACCGCGCTCTTCCAAACTGGATTGGCATCCTCACTCTTGAACCAAGCCACCATGGAAGACGGGGCGGAAGGATGATGTGGGAGGATTTCCTGCAGTCTCTGGTCGCTGGTGCTAGATTGCTAGATCAAGTTGCATGCTCGCACTCCCAGGCGCAATGCAGTGCCGCACGCAACTCTCATAGCGACTCGCATGTGGAGTCCGTTCTATACGTGAACTTTCTTATCACAACAAACGCACAGCTATGCCTAGGGATTCTTCTACTGATCTTCAACCCAGCCCAGCCGACGGCACAGATCATCGTGTCGCAAGCAAATGTGTACTGATGTTACTAAGGGCAACATGGTAATCATGCATGCGACGATCAACATCCCCCTGAGTCGAAAAGGGACGTTATCGAGCATGTCGAAGGTACTCTTCCTTATGAGATCGGCATGCTGGACAGCAACAAGGGTTTTCAAAAAATCGGGGTTGCTTGTTTAGGGATCCTTTTGGTGCGGACGCTGTGTATGGAGGTCTATGTTAGGGTCTCTATATTCTGAAGAAGACATACATGCATTCAACAATGGAAAACGGCGACTGACGACTCTGATCCTTGCAGATGCGACATGCGCATGGCGTCACCGAGCATGACAATGGAGGTTGGTCCCTCGCACATGGAAAGTCTATAATCATCCTTCTAGGGTTGTAGGATCTTACAGGTTGTAAGTTCAGGTATCAGGCTGTAGGGATCATTCCCACCTGGAGTTTCCAATTCAGGTACTCCATGCTGGTCCACATCTCATAATCCGAAAGAGCCCGGTTCCACGTGATGACCTCCATCACACCGAAGTCCGAGGCTTCATTGGCGAAGCCCTCATTGATGTACAAGTGGAAGTCTTCGCCGTGGGGATGACCGTGGTTCACCGCGATATTGCGCCGGTCGTTGCCCACGTAGACAACCCCCTTATTGTTGCCACACATCAAAAGCCAATCGGTATTGCTCGGATTTTCATGGGGTGTGACCCAGTTGCTGTAATAAGCCACACCTGTTTGATGACTCCAGTGGCCATGGAGGAAATTGGGATGGTGACCAGATTGCAGAATGCGGCCCATTCTGCCTCCGGCGACATAGCGGGAGATGGAACAAATCGTGAAGTCCGGCTTCATGATCTTGCCAAAGTCATATCCGGCATTGCTGTCGCCGGCCAAGTAGCCCACAGGCTTTGTCGCACCGTTTCCAGCTTCGACCTTTCTGGTGATGCTGCCCTTGGTGACACGACCTTGCCAGCTGCCCACTGCGCTCTTCCAAACTGGATTGGCATCCTCGCTCTTGAACCAAGCCACCATGGAAGACGGGGCTGCCGGCTCCAGGTCTCTGTGGAACACTCCCGTGGTGGTTGTGGTGGTCGAGGTAGTCGTCGATGTTGTCGTACTCGTAGTCTCAGCAGTCAAGGGCTCGGTGCTTGCTCAAGGGTTGCTCATCTGGTGTCGATGCTAGCTGCTAGCTCAGGTACAGGGCACCTTCTATGATGCAAATGGTTTTGATGGGCGGCAAGAATTATACATCTGAACAGGAGCTTCACAGACCAAGAATGTGGTCAAGGCCCAACGGCAAATGTCCCTGCTTCAGCAAAAGGGTTGGCCAAAGTGTTGTTGATGAGTGCGCGTATACACTCCAGAATGTTCGGTCCAAATGAGCCACTTACGTGCTTTCAATGTGCACGCACATCAACATATAGACACATGCAGAAGTCATGCACCTACCTCTCGCATGCGGTAGGTCTTACATTCAGTAGGCACACGTATACACATTGACATAAGACAGAAATGTTTGGCAACAGCAGAAGAACCCGCCACCAACAGACCAAAGACCAAATGCTACCATCAATGCCACTTGAGCATTCCAGTCACTCGCATGTTCGGAGTTGAAGACGGCGAAAAACAACAATACCAAGGTCACTGTGACCATCTTCACAGTCAGAAAGTCAATCAATCAGCCTTTGTTCAAGATCATCATAGGCATATAACTTTGCATCCTCATGCTCATGGCCAACATGACCATCAAAGCAAGCTTCCTTCGGGAATCGTTATCGTCAAGACATGTCGGCTTTTTTGTCATCATCCTCCTCACCATGACCGCCACGATGCTCGTCGTCGTCATCGTCATGGGTCATCTACCGCCTAGCAAATTGTGGGAGGGATCATCAAACGTACTTCGGGCAGTGTGTTGACGCCGGTGCAGCAACTTCGAGGCATTTCTTCTGAAACCTTGCCACCCGCCCCACATTGAAAGTATCAATTCTATTCCGGAATGCCGCAAAACAACTTGAAGTACATGCATGCGCAAACACGTGCCCGTCTTCTTCTGCTCGGTTGACAGGATGCAGCACCTTGAGATTGCCTTGCGTTGTGCTAAGTACACATATCAAGATGATTACACACGTGCACACGTGCAAACATGAGCATCGTAACCCAGCGGAAGCTTCTATCATGCTGAAAGACATTCATGTACACTCGTCCGTGCATGGAAATGAACCAATGAAGTGCGGGGTCTGTCTACGTCCAAGCGCATGTGTCAGCGACGTCTTGTCTTCCTTGGCAAGATGTTGGAATCTAGGAAACTAACACCGTCGAAGGTGAACCCTTTCATAGGTGCTGCTCATTGCTGCTCCGTGCCGATCCTACAGGCCCTCGACTCCGTGACCAATATACTCGGCATTCAAGGTCGAAGGCTTCCGCGGTTTGTCTAGGGGCCCATCAACCCGAAAAACTCACCAAAGCCCTGCATCCGAGCGACGGTCTGACAGGGGGAGCCCATGGCCCTCGGCTCGGAAACTTGCTGCTACTTCCAGCAAAGCGACTCAAGTCGTTCAAACCGCCCAGAACATGTAACCTGCAAGACTGAACGCCAAGGGTCAAGCACCTTCCGTCCAGCCATGTGCACTGCATTGTTCGTTCCTCGGTAAATCCGCTTTTCGGCACTCACTGCACTGCAAATGCAAGGCCAGGCGAAATCCTCCACGAGCCTTGCGACCCTGAAGTGAGTGTGCCAACGACATTTCTTCCTAAAGCGCAGTCGGTTCATGTCGGTTCGAGGAGGCTACGACTCGCGGCCAGTGAAAACATCAGCCCCAAAAGGCTGGAGGTGCAAACGGAGTTGTACGACATCGCACAACAATTTCTGGACTCATTCCAGTCCCAGCAAACCTTGCTCTAGTAGTTTTCCACAAGCACATTCACACCGACCGTGGAGTTCTGAATTAATTCCGAGTTCACCTGGCAGTCCACAGTGCAGATAGACTTTGTCATGCTGGGTATCCAGGTATGTGTGTTTTCTGCAACTTGCAACTGCCAATTATCAAGTGGAAGCAGAAATCCTCATCTATCAAACGAGCCACTCCCACCGTCACGAAGTGGCTGTTGCAGTCTGGCTCCTTCGCATGAAGCAATTGCTCGTTGCATGCAAGAGTTGCAAGTTGTACCGCAGGAGTGTGCAGAAAAGGGCTCGCACTGAGGCCAGTCTGAACCGATGTTTGTTGGGACTTTGTGCGATTCGCCTTTTTTGACGTGCTTTTCAACACTTTCAACAGAATTTAATTTGTTCCGTCCACTGAGACACCGAACCGAGTCTCGTTTCATCGATTTCTACTCCAGCCGCACCAGCCCTTGGCGTTGGTGCAGGCTATGTGCACCAAGCTGACGAGATAGGAACATCAAGCGCAATACTCAACGATTTAGGAGTGGTAACACGTCAGGGACCATCGCCATAAGTCGGAAAGTCGACTGTGTCTGGCAATGAGCACTTGGAATAATCAGCAGCCCAAGCATGCTCATACCCAGAGACGTTAGCAGCAGATGCGAATTACTCGCCACAACCATCCTACTAATCACTTCCCCTTCTTGTTAAACACCACCCTAATCTTTAAAAGCACTTTGGGCCCAATCCTCCCGAAATGATCCCTGCCCTTTAACACCTAATTTGCATTAGCGGGGAGGAGTAAGAGCAAAAGTAAGAGCAGGAGTAAGAGCAAAAGCAAAAGCAAGGGCAGGACCACAGGCAGGAGCGAGAGCAGGAGCAACAGCCAGCGCCGCGGGAGCAAGAGCCAGAGCAAGATCCCTCAAAAGTGACAGTAGAGATAAAAACACAATACGCAATGATAAAAACGCTTTCCGAGCTTTTATTGGGGCGGCCGCCGCGTTTAATAGTAAACAATACAGTTACTCTGAGTTGTCATAACAGACAAGCGCAGCAACCGTTGTCACAGTTGTCGGAGGAGGCGTGTTGTTAGACAAAAGTAGTGGTTTCAGGTTGATATTATATATATATATGCACATACAACTATATATAATCATATACAATCGTATATATGTATATACACGTGTATATGCTCAACCCCTCCCCATGTTCCACATCTGCTTCCGTTGAAAGGAATGTTGTAGATTGCAACTGTCAGCATGTCACCGAATTGTGCATGATGTCCTACGACCTTTAATTGTGTCCACGGACATGGGCCCAACGAGTGAGGCCTGCAGATGGGAGCACGAACCGTGGCCTTCCGCGATGGCGCCCTGCGCATGTCAGGGATCGCATCTCTTCCTAGACCAGAGAGTGACCCAGAGCCTTGAAATCCCGGGCCCGCTGTGTATGAGAAGCAGTTCTGATCCCAGCTTGCAAGGTTTCATTAAGGTTAATGATTCGGAAGTCTTAGACTAGATTCTTATTTTAGGGGGTTTCCAGGTCCTTAAACCCTATAGGGCATGAGGCAGAGGCCAGAATAAGAAATGTAGGAAGTGAGCAGGGGACGCGCAACGAACTGTGGCTGCCACTAAGTCGTTTTAGTTTTTCGAGCTCGGGTCGGGGTCAGGTGGGGTTTGGCTTTTCGAGATCTCCTCCAAGCTCGGGAAAGGCACAACTGACACCTCCGGAGATTGAGCCCGTGGCCTTTTGCAGGAGGGCTTCTGAGCAAGGCGCACGACTACTAAGCTGCGGAGGGTCTTAACTGGATTGGCCTTTAGGATAAGACTGGAAGGACTCACACAGGCCTTGAAAAAAAGCCCTTAGTAAGGGCACTTGCATAAGGGGTTAACAAGGCTTTAATGAGAGCTCAATATAATCTTAATGAGGGCGTCATAATACTAACAATAATGCTGGAAAAGGACAAACCTCAAGTTGCAAGCCCCGAATGCTCTGCCCTGTAAACCGGCCATGGGGCAGAGGCCAGAACAAGAAATGGAGGGAGCTAAGTTTCTTGTCTTGGTGGTGTTCGAGTAGCTGAATGGCCGAATGCATGTGTCAGGACCTTCACGTGCATGGGCTCAAGCCCCGGCTAAGAGATAAACAAGAACTAGCGGGTATTCAACGATCTGGCACATGGGAGATGTGGATTTGTGAAATAAACGGGAAGCTAAGAAATGAAGGGCACCCAACGCCCGCAGCTAGCATTTCTTATCCAGCAGTTACACTGTAGATGCAGTTGGATGCGATGGGCTATCCACTGACTCAGGGGTCCAAACTTCTGTCAACGCAATTTTTGTTACCACGAAGCTCCGTTTGTTCAAAATACTGACATTTGCACATGACTTTTTTGGATTAGTGATTAGTGCCTTAAGTGCCGGAAGAAACTGACAATGACCGTCTTGCTATCTCTGCTTGATCTGATACAAGGCACCGACCCACGAGTCCACGAGGCAGCATTCCCAAGCTTCAAGCCCCAACCCGAACCCCTCTATGCCGATATGCTTTCAAGAAAACTGCGGACACACAGGCCTGGCACTCGGGGAGAACCTGCTGCTCGGCAGGGCGGTCTTGGCGCTTGATGCCGGAGCCGACGGGCGGAGAGTTCACTTCGAAGGACCATGCGTCTTCCTTAGCCTTTGCGGAAGGATCTGTCATTCTCACGGCCGTGGACGCTCGTCGCACCTTGTCGACGTCCGCGTAGTTGAAGTCAAACAAAGCGGCGATGGCTCGGGCTCTGCTCTCTTCCGAGACGAGCTCATCCGGAATTGCTGTCAAAATCGCGGCGAATTGCTCCGCAAAGGCCCTCGCGCTTCAGAGGTTTTGTTGATGCCCAGGTCCTTCCCAATCTCGATCGAAGCCAAGTAGAGATCGTCCTCCTCCGTCTTCCAGTACAAGGATTCCCTGAGCCAAGCCTTCTCGTGTGTCCTGCTGCGGTTGCTTTGCAGCAGTGAAGTCCTTGACATGTATTCCATGGCAGTTCCACTCTCTCCCTCTGCCGCGGAAACCCCAAAGAAGCTTTCCGAGGTTTGATGGCTTCCATGGACATTATCAGACGTGAAGTGTGTGTCGCTGCCAAACCTCTTTGCCAGGCGCAGTGTCCGGCTGAACAGCATGACACCATTGGACCTGATCTCGGAGCGCAGGACGCTGAGGTCAAGCCCACCCGGCTGGTATCTGGGCCAGCACACCTGACAGCTCAAAAGAATGCAGGCATTGGCTTGATTCACATTTCAGCAACAGTACCCGAGTCAACGATCCTTATTTCCGTTGTTTCATCCTGCGGCGACTCTATCCTGACTGTGAATTTCGATGTGCCTCACGTTGCCGTCGCAACTGCTCGCAAATACATGTGTTGTTTCTTTCTCGTGGCGGCGGCACCATGGATTTTGTCCCAGAGTCAGGGATTTGGCCTCAGCTTGAGGTGCGCGGGGCCTGGGTGAACGGTGGTTCGACCTCTTGTGGCTCATGCTGTCTCACGGCAAAGCTTCGACAAAAAACGACTTCTTTCTGCAGTCCGAAGACGGCCCCGCTGGGATGCCGAACTCGCTGTCAGGATCCAAGTCCCGTTCCGGCGTATTTTGTGTGGCTTTTTGTGCGTGTTTGGGTGCTACCGTGCTCCCACAATAGTCCTGCGGATACTATGAGTTGCGACTCGTTATCCTGCCACGGTGCTCTGCGTGCTCCGGCGTGCCATTCGTTCGCACTCCTACCACAGCCGGGTTGGCAGGTTGGATGCATGGGGTGGGGCGTTGAGAGCTGCAGGGTTCTTGTGTACGTTGGACTTGGGCTGATGGGTGTGCACTGTTCTGCTTGCTGCTCGGAGTTCATACGGGAGGACGGGAACCTTCAGAGAATCGGTTGCCTGTTAAGTCCGAGTCCAGACTGCACTTTTGCATTTGTGTGCGTGCCCCAGGTGCCGATCGCAAGGCGACTGTACAGGAACCAAGCAAATGATCACAGGTGAGCCTGACTCTATCGTATAAGGCCGGGGCTGTGGAGTCGATTTCGGCCAGTGGGCCCGGAAGTAGATCGAATTGCACACCGCCGACAAAGGCGACCACGGGCTGCATGTTCAACTCGAAGGTCACCGTCACACACTTCTCAATCGAGGTACCCACCGAATAAAAGGAATATCCCTGCCACTTGTCCCAATGGTCCTTGATCCACTCGGCTCCACAAGGCACCGCCCAAGGCTCCAGCTTCACGAAGTCGTCCTCTGTCTCCGCCTGCCAATCCTTTTTGGTGGCCTGGTTATTGCTGCCCGTCTTCGTTCGGGGTGCGAATGCCAAGCAGGATCCAGTCACGGTCTCCCTGCCGTTGAACCTCGGCATACTAGACGTGCTTTACCAAGGGTCCTCAGAGGATCTGGGCTTCTGAGCTTAGGCCTAAACCACCCCAGGGAAACTTGTGTAAAACGGAAACTCCCTTTCCCCGCCGTCGTTTGGCGATTGGGCTGCTGATTCAGGGACGGACCGACCCTAACATGCCAGCTGACACCCGTGAACTTCAAGCTTCACTGCTTGCAGTGGATGCATGCTCTCAAGCTCGTGACCCTTGGTTCTCATCGATGTTTGCTTACATCGCGCCAGTCGTTGATTCGCTTTGTGTTGTATGTTTTGTGTTGATTTCCCACCCTGATGTGCCTGGTCTGCTTGGGTTTTCCGAATGACAAGTGACTTGTTTGGGCTATCTTGAATGATAACACATATTATGTTGCGTTATTGTCTGTTTGACTGTTTGATGTTCTTTTGATTTCTATCGGTGTTGGTTTGACTTCCCTTTGCTTTGTGTTTCAACTCTTCGTTTGAAAACAGTAGTGAACAGAAGCGAACCACAAAGAAAGCCTGGGCCAGGAGTGAAGAGTAAAGACAACTTCGTCTGCACCGCAAAATGGCCCACTGCACCGCACGGTTTGCCGCGACAAGCCCATACAAGCCCTTTCCGACAGGCGGCTCTTGCATCGCTGAGTCACATCTTCCGCGCGGTCCAACACAGAGATAGGGAGACAAAGAAAGAAACACATAGAGAGTGAGAGCGAGTGTGCAAGAAAGTAAGTACGTGTGAGTGCGCGTGCTTGCGGTTGTTTCTGTGTCGGTGTTTAGGCGGGCACAGGTGTGTGTGGGGGTGACAGCTTTCCTGGTAAGTCCTGGCTGCCCTTCCGAGACAAGCAGCTGCGTAACCAGCTCGTGGGTCTCAGCTCCATAGTCGTGAAAACTCCATTTCACGCCGGCCGGTGGCTTGTCGTCCTCTTCTTCGCCGTCGCCTTGGGCCTGGGCCGACGCCACGAGTTTACACTCCTGGGCTACTCCGAGATGACTGCTCCTCCATTCTGGGACCTTGTGCCGACTTCGCATTACAGGTCCTACGTGTACAGCACGGTGCCTCCAGGGTGGCCAACTCCTGCAGCAACTCGGCGTGTTTGCCGGGCATCTTCTGCGAGTGCTTCGTGATGACGAGGTTGGTGCCTGCACAGTTTGGTGCAGGCAGTCTTGCCTGAAAAACTTTGCCATCTTAGTCCGGCCTCTGTGATGCACCATCGCCTGAGTGCCGGCAGAGGGGAACTCCGTGGTGGCCGCTGTCTGCAGCAGCGATTCCCCTCCCTTTATGGCTTGAGTCGCCAACTTCGAGGCCACCTTGGCGAAGGCTGCGATGAACTCTTCGAAGATATCGCCCAAGCGGTTCAAGAAGTTCAGGGGAGGCACACGGCCGATGATCTTGTAGCCGAGGCACTGGACCAAGTCACCTTTCGCTGCTGCCTCAGAGCACTTCATTAGCTCCTTACCCATTGTGATCATGTTCGCGATAGAGTTCGGATCGCTTCCTCCGAGAAGCTGCATTGGCCCAGGCATGAGCCCCAAGATGTTTCCACTGGCAATCTGGTTCAGTTGTCCGGGTAAGAGCCCCATGATGTCACCGCTAACAATCTGGTTCAACTGTCCCGGCAAGAGGCTCGTTATCTGGCCATTCGCAAGTGTCTTTACGGGGTCGGGCATCCAGTTCAGCGGTGGGGCCAAGTGCTGAACCCAACGGCCAAGACATGCGATCAAATGATGATGGTGGCCGCGGTCTGGGCAATGCATTAGCTCCCACCCCACGCTGAACACTGTCCGGACGGCCTCGTGCGCTGAACCTGCGACCAGCTTGACGGGCTCTGGCAACCAGGGCAAAGGATTTACGAGGCCATACACCCAATGTGCAAGACACCGAATCAGATCATGGTGGTGGCCACGGTGTTGGCAATGCATTAGCTCCCACCCCACGCTGAACACTGTCCGGACGGCCTCGTGCGCTGAACCTGCGACCAGCTTGACGGGCTCTGGCAACCAGGGCAAAGGATTTACGAGGCCATACACCCAATGTGCAAGACACCGAATCAGATCATGGTGGTGGCCACGGTGTTGGCAATGCATCAGCTCCCAACCCACACTGAACACCGTCCGGATAGCCTCGTACGTAGTCTCTGCAACAAGCTTCACAGGGGCAGGCATGAGCCCCATGATGTCACCACTGGCAATCTGCCTCAACCTTGGGGACCATTTGACCCTCATAATTGTTGACGTGCGCTCTTTTAGAATGAACCTTGTCTTTAAAGGCCGTTTCAAACGTCCCTTAAGACTAATCGGTTCCTGACCGACAAGAAAAGTCACGCACAGATTCGTCAATTTGTTCGAGATTGTGTTGTTGCTGGTCCAAGTCTTGCAGAAAAACAGCCAACGGCTGTGATGCTCATGATTCGCATGAACCGAGAAACGATGCTGCATGATGCTAAACACATGTAATTATATGGATATCGTGCTGACTTTGACCATTGAGGTACCCCGCCCTCAGAAATAAGTAAACCACACACTAGATGCGATATCTTGTCAAGCCTGCAGGATTGCGGACATGTTCTGCGAGAGAGCTTTGTGATTGAGCTGCGGAACGAAAAGCCCGGCATGAGGTTGATGTGAATCAAAAGAATGCTGCTTGTGGCATGCACTTGCTGATGAGATCTCATGCATGTGGCAAGCAAATTCTGCGAGTGCAAGGAAACGGTGCCTTGCCATGGACGCCTTTTCTGGATGAGCGATGTGCGCATGTGCAGGACTGTGTGTGTGTGTGTGTCAAAAGCTTCAGGTCTTTGTCTTTGTTTTGCCGGTGTCCGTGCATGCGTTTTTTTGACTGACTTCTGACTTATAATACGGTGTCTAGATTTTCAACGAAAAAACTTCAAAAACTTATGAACAGCTTATAGGAACTCACAGAAGAAGTCATAAGTTAAGTCATAAGTTCCATAAGCACAGTCAAAATAAGTGAAAGAGAAGTATGCTAGAAGTTCGACAAGTCTGATGTATGTAGGGTAACTTGACCGGGCCCTATTTTGCACCAAGCTTTGGAGCAACGTTATCACAACTGGCGCTGGGGGCTGTGACCAGGTCATGGAACTGTGAGGGCAGCATGTTATGCACGTTGACCTCCCTCCGGCCCAAATCGAAGTCGTATAGTGTAATGCTTCGCCCCAGGATGGTGGCCGAGCAGTGCCATCTCCCAAAGTTGACGTAGATCTTGGCCCCGTCAGCCCCAATTCCTGGATCAGGTCTTGGACAATTCGCACCAAATTGGCCTCGCGAAGATCAGGGATGTCCAGCGAAGGTGCAATGATTCCCCAAGCATCCTGAAGCCTCAAAACCTGAATCCACAGCATGCTCTGTGCTCGTTGAGGCCAGGCCCTCACCCTGCCTTCACGCACCGTCCTGCAAGGGAAACGGCCGAAGTCTATGAGTCTCAAGTTCAAGCTCGGGCAAGTGGGCATCATATGACGGGCATTTTTCTCCAATGTGATTAGTGTGCTGTTTGAGTGCTGTTTGCCACAAGCCCCCCCCACCTTTCGACGGCAGCCGCAACCAGTGCGGGAATGTCCGGAAGGTTGGGAACACCGGGAAGTCCGGGCATTCCAGGAATGCCCAGACCGGGCACTGATGGCAGGCCGGGCACTGAGGGCACACCGGGCACTGAGGGCACACCGGGCACTGATGGCAGACCGGGCACACTGGGAACTGAGGGCACTTTCTTGGGAATAATGGGTGGTGCTGGTACGACTCGGCGCCTCAGGCCAGGCGTTGGAATGCCGGGAATCAAATTTCCTCGCTTTTGAATCAGGGCCCTGCGCTGTCCAGGCTTCTGCTCGCCTGGGCCCTCCTCATCCTCCTCGTCTTCCTCCAGCTCCTCAACCTCCTCTTTGTGCTGCGGCTTCGATTGGTGGGCCTCTGGATGGTACTGCCGGTGCTCTCGCTGGTGGGCGTGCTTCTGGATCACCCTCTGCAGGATGTCATGGGCTTCCTGCATGCTCTCCTCGGAAGTCTTCTGGGCCAGTGAGACCTCCGCATCATCGGGATCGATCTTCTTCAGCAGCTTACCGATCATAGCCTGCTGCATTTCCGCGAGGGTTTCAAGCTGGGCGACTTTCAGCATCAAGAACTCCAGGCTCTTGCCCAAGTCAGCCATGCCCCCGCCCTTCTCACCCTTCTCGGAGCTCTCGGAGCCCTTCTCACCCTTCTTCTCCATGTCGGGCAATAAGAAGTCAGACTCCTCAAGGCGAAGCACAGCAAATTTATGCTTAAGTCGGAAAGTTGTACAAGGTTGCACGGTGCCCAAAAGCAATCACGTCCTGCATTTCGCCGACTAGCATGCCGGCAACATACCCGCTGAGATTCTGGACCACATCCGACACATTCACGTTGGGCTTCGTCTTGTTGAGCTTTATCGAAAGCTTGTAGGACCACCCGGCCTGAGAGTCCAACAAACACCCGCCTCTAGGAATCAGAATTCCAAGACTTGCCAGGGAGCCTGGGTGAAGATGCAAAGCATCCAAACCATGTCGTCTGCTTGCGTAAAGTCATGGCCGACGCCACACTTGCTTCATTAAATCAGGGGATTGAAAGCAAAACTTCTGAACTTGAGAAGAGTAGCAGCGCAGCAGTGGTTAGAACAATAACATGCCAGCAGCACACCGACAGAGCAAGTGAAGTCATCGACAGTTTCTCTGATCCATTGCGCCCCATGGCATGACACATGTCACTCTACAGCTACTGAAGGCGTCCAAACTCCAGCCAAGCAAGCACTCATTGAAATTGAGGCTACACACTTTTTATTCGGCCGCGGGCATTCTTAAGCAGTGGACCACTCGCGGAGCGCCCAACGAAGCGGAGCCTGAGAAGCTACTCGTCAGAAAAAAACCCGGGGGCCACAATGGTTGATGAAGAAGGATTCAGCCGAAGAATTTGAAACCCTTGAGGCCTTAGTTTCTCAGGCTCTATCATGACTCTAACATCTCAAATCCCCCAAAGCCGTAAGCTTAGCCCTGAACCCTGGAAGCCTGAGCTAAAGGCTCCTGACCCTGATTCCCTTTTCCCCTAGATCCTGGAACCGTACGCACCAGAAAACACTCACCCTGCTGCTAAACCCTAAACTTGCCCTTGATCCCATTTCTGTTTCTGCATCCGGGCCATGAGGTCCTTGCTGGAAAAAAGACACCATACGTATGTCACTATGTTACTATACCTGAAACCCTGTGCCTCTCGTTTACCAGGAGCAATGCTTGCCTTGAGCTTTTTCCGCCAAGCACTTGCCGTCTTATCCAGTTTCGAGGCAACTCGCCTCCTGCTGTTTTTGTTCGCAAAAACAGCTTGCAAGGTAAGCACTGTTAAAATTCGGTTGCCAGCAGCGGTGTGCTTTGCGGGTGCCGCCCAGAAGCAGGGAACGCGAGAGCTTGAATGAAATCGAGTTTGAGCTGTCTCCAGCGAGCCTCACGCACTCGTGTGAAGTTGAGTTCCTATTGATTTCTACCTGCCCTTTCCACGGACGCAAGCTCCCATGTTCGTTTGCGTCTGTTGTGGGTATAGCTCACGGATATCTGGATGCCGGGTGGCTGAACCGACGAACGTGGTGAATGCCCTTAGGATTCAAAAATGGCTCGTTGATCGTGCTGCAAGATGAGGCGTTTAACCAAACCGAACAAGTCCACGAACCCTGTTTCTACCAATGCTACTACCGCCACCCGACGACGAGTACGGAGTAGTAGTAATAGTCGTGGTAACAGCTCTAAGTAGTAGTAGTAGTAGTAGTAGTAGTAGTAGTAGTAGTAGTAGTAGTAGTAGTAGTAGTCGTAGTCGTAGTCGTAGTCGTAGTCGTAGTAGGAGTAGGAGTAGGAGTAGCAGCAGTAGCAGCCGTAGCAGTAACAGTAGCACTAGTAGCAGCAGCAATAGTAACAGGGGTAGGAGTAGTAGTAGTAGCACAACTACTACTACTGCTGCTACTACTACTACTGCTACTACTACTAGTAGCAGTAGCAGTAGCAGTAGCAGTAGTGGTAGTGGTAGTGGTAGTAGTAGTAGTAGTAGTAGTAGTAAAGCAGTAGTAGCAGTAGCAGTAGAAGTAGTGGTAGTCCCACTACCATCGCGACTACTGCCTCCCACATAGCTCACCGTCCAGGCCGCTTGGCGGGGCACAAGCTCCCGAACGCTAACTACGCGAGCTGAACCACCTCACTCAGCGGCAACAGTGCGAATTGTACATTCAGGTGACATAGCCGCAACACGCACACAAACAAAGACATGGCTGAGGTGTGCTCGGCTCTGTCACAACACGACACCGTAGTCGAGGTGTGGAAAAACTCCACACCGGGACGCTGTGGCTCGCAGCGGATGCAGTCCGAAAATCAACCATTCCGATAATACCAATTCCCTGATGTAAATCAAAAGCAGTGGCAATAGCAGCAGCAGGAGTAGTAGTAGTAGTAGTAGCAGTAGTAGCAGTAGTAGCAGTAGTAGCAGTAGTAGTAGTAGTAGTAGTAGTAGTAGTAGTAGTAGTAGTAGTAATGGTAGTAGTAGTAGTAGTAGTAGTAGTAGTAGTAGTAGTAGTAGTAGTAGTAGTAGTAGTAGTAGTAGTAGTAGTAGTAGTAGTAGTAGTAGTAGTAGTAGTAGTAGTAGTAGTAGTAGTAGTAGTAGTAGTAGTAGTAGTAGTAGTAGTAGTAGTAGTAGTAGTAGTAGTAGTAGTAGTAGTAGTAGTAGTAGTAGTAGTAGTAGTAGTAGTAGTAGTAGTAGTAGTAGTAGTAGTAGTAGTAGTAGTAGTTACTATTATTACTATTAGTAGTAGTAAAAGTGGTAGTAGTAGTTTTGATAGTAGTAGTAGTGGTGGTGGTAGTGGTAGTGGTAATAGTGGTAGCGGTGGTAGTAGGTACATCGCTGGTAGGTGACGCCACTGTTTTCTTCCTTTGCCCGTGTTATTTCTCGGGTTTGGAGCTGTTTTTACCTGTTCCAGGGGGGTGTGCCTTTTTTCTGTCTTGTCTGGTCATTTCTCGAATGTTGGACTGGTGTCGATCATTGTCGAGAAAGTTAGCGTCTTTTCTGGATATTGTTCTTATGCGCTTTGGGGCCTTCCAATTTCTACGTTGTTAGTTGGATGCTGCTGTTTCTCGAGTTTGGGCATTTTCCTGGTTTTGGTCAAGGATCAAGATGCTTGACACTACGTGCTTTCTACGGGCGTGACATCTTGAAGTCTTCAACTTAATGTACGGGCCTTGGCTTTGCTGTAACACAGGCTTTGCTGTTACACAAGGGTTTTCTGATTTAAAATGGCTCGGCTTTGGCGGGGGGGGAGGGAGGGGATGCTTGGGGCTGGTGGGGGGGGGTGGGGTAAGCGCGGTGTGTCATTTGGGGTCGTTGCTCTACTACTATGCGCATGGTTGGTTACATCATCATCGTCATTGCCATCGTCGACATCCAAGCATCACAGCAACACAACTCCACGAAGATTTTGAACTGAGGCTCTGCTCCGCATCAGCTGGGAATCGGCAGCTAACACGACTACTGCATGTCAGCAAAGCATCGCAGCCACTCCACCTCTTTAGTTTCAACTCCACGCCATCAAACGAAAAACACAATACCAACACACAACAAACAAAATAGCAAGGCCGAAGGCCAAATCGAGAAACAACAGAGTCCAACTCAAAAACGCAGAAACTGACTTTAGAATGCAGAACAACAGTATCCATTCCCCCACATCGATGAAAACCAAGCCAGAACGCCGGAAACAACAGCGTTCAGCAAGTCTTGAACTCGTAACACAAACGAAACACAAAAAAGGCGCACTCCCCTCGAACAAAAACAGCAAAGAAAGTGCAACTAGCACGCTTCGCCTTTCCGCCCCCTTTCGTGCACCTCGGGTCGCATCCCGGACCAGCTCGCGCCCAGGCAACTATGGAGGCACAGCAAAATGGTCTCTGCGTTTCCCTCCAGCAATCATCTCGGCCCGAACACCTACATGACATCTTGGGAAAAAAGAATTTAAATTTGTCTCAACGGGATGCGGCTCGTTATATAAGGAAAACGAATTAAAACGCAAACCCTCAACCCAAAACCTTAACTAAGCCCTGAAGCCAGCTCCCCAATTGCCCAAATGTGCCGTGGGCAAACCTCTACTCCTGCGAGTAGTAGTAGTAGTAGTAGTGGTTCGTGGTTGTGGTGTGGCAGTAGTAGTTTTGGCTGATGGATCGCGAAGCAAGGTGACTGGTGTACAAGAAGGTTAATTCCGGCGGAGACATTTGTCTCTCCAACTTCATTCATGTGACTTTGCATGCATGTCATTACGCTGTTGTTCAGCATGCCACTTTGCACATAATTCAATTCAGCAAAATGCCGCCTTGCACCAAACTCACTGTCACTTCCAAGGTCAGCCGTTCAATCACAGACACTGTCGACATGTGCCTCACTCATCCACCATGGATTCAGGCAGTTGTGATCTACCGACACGCGCTGAGCCAAGTCAGCCGATTCCATGCATCTAATTTCGCGACCTCCTGAGAATGCGTTTGACCAATCATGCAAGTCCTTCCAGATTTCAGCTGATGTCCACTGACATTCCCACATGCAGCATACAGATACACAGGCGAGCACAGAAAGAAGAGCCAGCCAAGTTTATCCCACTACGCAGAGCTCCCGACGGAACTGCATCTGTGACAGGCCGTAGACACCACTTGCAAGTTTGTGGAGAGTCGCCAGATGATTTCTGCTTATGTTTCTTATTGCAGCGCCCATCCAAAACTGCAAGGGCCAACTTTGCAGCATGAGCTTCCATTCGGATTTGCGTCAACCACAAAGGCCAAGCCCCTGGTGCTTTTGTTGTGCACTGCACATAGTAGTAGTAGTGGTGGTGGTGGTCGTCGTAGTAGTATCAGGAGAAGGAGTAGTAGTGGTGATAGTGGTGATAGTGGTGGTAGTGGTGGTAGTGGTAGTGGTAGTGTTAGTGTTAATGGTGGTAGTAGTAGTAGTAGTAGTAGTAGTAGTAGTAGTAGTAGTAGTGGTGATGGTGGTAGTAGTAGTGGTAGTAGAAGTAGTAGTAGCAGCAGTAGTAGCAGTAGCAGTAGCAGTAGTAGTAGTAGTAGTAGTAGCAGTAGTAGTAGTGGTGGTGGTGGTGGTAGTAGTAGTGGTAGTAGTAGTAGTAGTAGTAGTTTTTTGTCACCCACTTGGCACGCCAATGACAGCGTAGTAGTAGTAGTAGTAGTAGTAGTAGTAGTAGTAGTAGTAGTAGTAGTAGTAGTAGTAGTAGTAGTAGTAGAAGCAGCATCAGCAGCAGTACTACTGGAAGCTACGTCGTTGCATAAGCCCTGGATAGGGGCCAATGCTTTCGGGATCAAGCTGCGAGATATTGCAAACCAAACTGATCAAAGCTGACCAGAGCTGAAACGGATCGTGGAAGACACCGGCGCGGATCAAAGACTCACGCGCGTGAGCCCAGGATCAAGATGTTGGAACAGCAGGTCAAAGTCATCATCGATGAACCCCTTCGACACAACCAAAGCTTTCTTGATCTGTGCCCGAAGGATCATGTCAATCTTATCGAAGCTTCCCATCTCCTGAAAAGCTTGGGGGCCACAATTGCAGCACACTTGGCCCCTAACTGTAGACATCAAGCATCTAAACTACCAAAGCCATCCAGATGTGTCTATGAATATGCACGCATAAGCATGCACATGCAGAAGCATAAGCCGAAGCGGATTCCCGAAACACCAGGCCTTGACATACACTGGAAAGTGCCTAGGCTTCCTATTCACAAACAACTGATTATGCAAGACTTCCGTCTCCTGAATCACTAGCGACTTGATGGTGTCTCGATCTTGACTGTGTGTAGCATCCGCATCCGCCAAGGACAGGTGCGCCAGGCGCTTGCCGATGTTTAGGGCAACCTTGGGGATCAGGCGGGCTGGGCAGCTTTGCTCCCGTAAGCCTTGCTGCTTATGCGACTGTAAGGCATTGCAAATTCAAAAAAAAAGCTGCTGCAGTCACACCTCGGTTGTTGCACGGCCGAAATTGACAACACCCGTGTTCGTGCAGAACTGAAGGCCCACGAAGTCGGCGCGCTTCTTCGCCAGATTCATCGTCTGGAGCACCTCGAAGAGGCACCAAGATCGGGTCCTGCAGCTCAGCTTATGGGTCCAGTGCTCAAGCAGTCCGATGTCGCTGAGCGCAACCAACTCACGACATCAGCAACGCCACGACTGCACTCAAGAAACACTGTAAAAGCCCAGGCTCAGTGGCAAGGCATGCTCGTCCAAGATCATGCAAGTACCCTGAACACAGCTGCTGTGTAGGGCCAGGTAAAAGGAGGATTCGTAGTGACTCGTGCCTAACTCCTCATCGATGAAGTACTGGTTGTTGCTGAAAGCACAGATCCAGTAAGACACAGATTCCCACGACGGGGTTACTGCATGTTCGGAAATTACGACTGCCTCGGCATGCCGCCTGAGAGCGTCGCAGGTGTAGGTGAATCTCGTTCCCCAAAAATGCGAGACAAACCAGACGGTCTGACAGGGCCCCAGAACTTCTGCCAAGGACAGCTGCAGCTCCGAGGTCAACGGGCGAACAATGTTCGAATCAATATAATACAAGTTTCGATCTCTGATGTAGTGCTGAAATTCGTTCATAAAGTCAAAGATCTGGAAAGCTGTCAGAGCACGCTGCGGCCCCTTGTCGCATGGTGCAGGGACGGGGTTGCGCTCCCGCAGCTTCTCCTGAAATCGCACCAGAGAGTACCAGATCGACGGGTCCTTCGGGATCAGAAGTTGAAACAATCTTGAGATCACAAAGCCCACCAGGCATCCCCCCAGTGCTGCAGCAGCACCAAAGGAATGGCTGTACGGAATTTCGTATTCCTCACCTTGCGAACAATGCCAGGGGCTCTACTTGATTCTACTTTCTTGCACGTGTGGTGCTCGCAGCTGACATTGAGGTCTCGTTCAGGTTCTGAAGACATGTTGGGCCGTTCGGTCCAAGGCACTGACGAAGACCAGCAATGGTGGTGTGCATAAGATCAGCATCGGGGCGGCCACGGCAACAGGAACACGAGGAATCACGTCACTATGGAGGGTGGAACGAAAAAAGGACAGCACAAAGAAGCCGTGGCTGGTGTCTGCACCCTGCACCTGGGAGAAGCATTTGCGGGACCGACAAGCCCGAATTCGTCAAACACGACTGCTCCTGTAAGGAGCCCAAATTTTCAAGTTCAGCGACACCTGCAACACTCCACATCACGATTAAATAACCTGGAACATGGAGTGCCTGAGCAACTGCAGGCACTTGTTCCTAGCTGCTGCGGTATGCGATATCTCCTCCCACAGCCTGAGGACTTAGCTCTCAATCAAAAGCAGAACGCAATCATATTTCGCAAACTGACTTGATTGGAGGGACCGGTTTGCCCCTCGCATCCAAAAGCTGAAGGGCGCGAGTTGAAAGTGCCCGTGCCCGGTACAGGCAGGCCTGCGCAAGTGGGCTCAAGATCATTCCTCCGTTCTCTTCTGTGCTGCAGATCAGACATGAAGGCGACGATACTGCGACTGCGACCACATCAACAAGCATGAAACAAGCATAAATGTAGGTATGTAAATATCTGTATACGTAGAAATCTGTAAACAGAATATGGAATAACAGCTTTCTGCATGTGCCTTTTTTGGGCCTGGAAAACTCGTTTCTCATGGAGAAGTCCTGGCCTCATGAAAACGAAGCGTAGGAAGGCTGTTCTGTCAATTTCGTCCAACTTGCAATCTTTAAAGAAGTGGCAATCAATTTGTCGCACATCTATATTCCTTAATGCATCGGAACATTCAGACTCTCCGATAAGTATTTTCGATAACTACTGACAGTCCGTCGAGTTCTTCATCCTTGACATCGAAATTGGTATAGCTGTTTCTCCCTTCTTCCGATATGAAGAAATCTCTTGCCATATCGAAGAGACATCCTTTCTCGCGAGGAAGCAAGAAGTGTTGGAGCTCCGACAATATTGAAACAAAAAAGAGGGCATCTCTTCTTGCACGTTACAAGATGCAAACACACCTGCGTTAGGCCTCGGGAAAATTCGCGCAGTTGTAAGATGCCTGACATACTTGCTGATTTCAATGTCACGCAAGAGTCGTTCGGCAAAGCGAAAACATGCAGAGGTTCGTGTCTCCATCGCCAGTAACCAAGAACAATAACTAGCCCCCGGATGTCCAATGAAAATGCCGAAGCACCTCTATGTTGTTATGCCTGTTCATTCTTTGCAAACATGTACGACAAGAAAACTAACAGAGCTCCTCTATCTGTTGACGTGAAAGAAGAAACACGGTTGTGTATACTTACAAAAACAAGCTCCTCTCTCCCAGTATTGAGAAGACAACGAGAAGGCGCTCTTCAGCCAAGCTCGCAATTCCAAACTGCACGTTTGTGATTCCGCCTGGATGAATGATTTCATTTCACGGTGTTGTGCTATACGGCTGGGTCGCGGAATCGTAGCTTTCAAGAAACAGCTGCGTATGACTGCCCACATAGGGTTTCCAGTCACTTCTGTCTTTATTTCTTGGGTCGCTTGTGTCTCCCTTTTCTGTGTCACTGGTGTCTTTTTACTTCTTTCGAAACAGCAGTCTCGAGCGAAAGCCCTTTTCGGCCAGCCGTGGGCTTTCGGTCTGGGTTTACTCCGTTTTTTGACATTCGCACTCAGACAAGCCTGGCAAGGTCTGCAGCGATATTGGTTCAAGTTCAACGATACTAACCAGCTTACTGGGCCGGTTCATCCGGTAAGCCATCCCATCGGTAGCAATCAATGTGTTGACAGCAGCTTTTCAAACACGGACAAAAGAGCCTTCGCCCACGAAGGCAAGCAACCAATTCCCTAGTTTGTCCTCTGTAAGGCTCGCGAAAAAAGTTCGGCAGTCTCATCCACAAAGACAATCGCACTGCTTCGTTCATGCTGGTCCACACCCTCTTGCACTGTGTAAATTCAGCCTCTCATGCCCAACGTGCAGGTCTGTAGTCAAAGAAGCAGTGTCATAGAGAGGGCCTTTACCCGATGTATGCAACACACACATGTCGGAAATTCATTCACACCTGCAATCATGCCATAAGTTTAAAGACTCAAACCAATACATCCTTGCCAGCAGCATCATGCAGGATGCGGGGCACCATAGGTCCAGTGTATCAAGTAAATTCGCACATGCAGCCATCTGTACCCATTGTTGCATGCACGCACGGAGGTCCAAGCAGTTTGCACCAAATTACAATGTTCCTGCACACAGCGTCAGGCAGGATGCGGCGTGCCACCAAGCCATGGTATCCAACATAATCCACTTGAATTCGTACACGCAGGCATATGTCCAGACGAATACCTCCTTGTCAGCGGCATCATGCAGTATGCGGGGCACCAAAGAGCCAGTATATTGAACAAACTCGCACGTGCAGCCATCTGTGCCCATTGTTGAGTTCCAGTCAGCTAAAGGATTCCATTGAACTCGTACAAACAGACATGCGACGAAAATGTAGCCATTTTGCGGCCATCGGAACTGAGACATTGTTGCACGTCAGTCACACGCAGCAAGCAGCACGGAGGTCCCAGCAGTTTGCACCAAATGAAACTGTCCCTGCCAGCGGCATCATGCAGGATGCAGGGCGCCACAGGTCCGGTATGTCGAGTAAATTCGCGCGTGCCACCATCTGTTGCCATTGGTCAATTCCAACATGCAGTTTGCACCAAATTAGAATGTCCCTGCCAGCAGCATCTTGCAGGATTCGGAGCACCGACAAGCTAGAGAATTCCGTTGAATTCGTGCACGCGGACATGCGACGAGGATGTACTCGATTTGCGATTTGTGGCCATGGCATTCATCGGAGCTGATAAGAGCCCTCTCGAGACAACGAGCCGTCGGCACGTAAAACAAAGTTCTCAGTCGAATCCGACTGTATATGACCATCAAGCTTCCATATACAGAAGCCACTTTTCGTTGATCCAAAAGCGGTGGAGGGACCGGCTAAAGCAATTTTTGACACTCAAACTCGGACAAGCCTGGCAAGGTCTGCAGTTGTAGGTTCGATGTCTTCGTTAACCACTCGCTAAGCAGTTTCACTTAGTGCGCAACGCTGCCAAGTGGAACTTATGGACAAGAAACCAACAACTGTGCAAGCATACTTCTTAGTCTTAGTCCCACTGACAGCAGTCTCTCCCCAGGTGCATTCGCCCAAAGCAATTTTAGGTTTTCGGGTTCCGTTTACTCCTTGTCGACTTTCTCTCCAGCGGACCTTTCACTTCTTCTAGGGTATGGGGGTCGGTTTACTCCTTGTTTCGCTTCGGGCCTTCTTTCACTAGGTTTTGCAGTCAGGTGTAAGGTTTCGGGTTCCTTTTACTCCTTTTTAGTGATTGGGCCTTCTTGTTTTAAGGTTTCGGTCTGGGTTTATTCCTTTTAGGGCTTCGGCGTGGGTTTACTCCTGTTTTCTTTCATTAGGGCTAGGGCTTCGGTCTGCCTGGGTTTACTCTTAGGGTATCGGGGTCGGTTTGCTCCTTCTTGGTATAGGTATAGGCATTGGCGTGTGTCTATGTATAGGTGTATATCTATGTATCGGTATAGATGCATGTATATATGTATATAGATAATTGTGTGTATATGTGCGTATGGATGTGTCTATGTGTGTAGATATGTATATGTATATGCATATGTACATATATATGTATCGATGTATATGTTGATGTTTGGCCGACTCCTGTCAGGTCCGTTTCAGGGGCCTCTCGTTCGAGACTGTTGCTTGCAAACAATAAACAACACAAAAGCGACCCAAAAAACAAGGACACAAGTGACGCCCCTTCCGCCTACATATACATACATACAGACATACAGCCTACATGTGTATACGTATACGTATATATATATATATGTATATATATATATGCATATATGTATGTATATATGTATATGTATATGTATATGTATATGTATATGTATATGTATATGTATATGTATATGTATATGTATATGTATATGTATATATATATATATATATATATATATGCTATCCCCCCTCATGTACCCACGCTTTGCGCTTGAATTGTGCGGGATCGTCGCCGTGGCAATACCTTTCCAATCTCCACTGTTCTTGGCTATATGCAAAGTACACAAAGGTACTAATATTTTTGGACTCGTGTGCCACGCGAACACCACTTTTTCTGACCGAGGCAGCGGTCATGATCAGCGCACCGTGGACAAGCCACAGCACGGGTGAAAAGCCAGGGGGCCTACATGGGCCAGCTGTCTCCTGGCATATGAAGGCCTTTACTCACCCGCGGGTGGTAGGCCATGGAAACAGGTGAAACTGCACCGCGGTGCGCCTCCCTACTGCACCGCGGTGCGGGGAGGGCACGGGCGGGAAACCAAAAAGCTACGCGCGTATGACGTCCAAAGTAAATGTCATGCAAGGTGCGCGCCGTGGGTGCTCCTAATGCATGACAACGGCCCATTGGACTCGTGTGCCACGCGAACACCACTTTTTCTGACCGAGGCAGCGGTCATGATCAGCGCACCGTGGACAAGCCACAGCACGGGTGAAAAGCCAGGGGGCCTACATGGGCCAGCTGTCTCCTGGCATATGAAGGCCTTTACTCACCCGCGGGTGGTAGGCCATGGAAACAGGTGAAACTGCACCGCGGTGCGCCTCCCAACTCAAAAGCGCTCCCCACTAAAAGTGAGCGAGAGCGATTGCCTTCCTCGCGCAGCGTTATGGCTTCAACAGAAGCTGGCGGCACTGCTGCACGAAGTGAGGGAGGCGAGGGAGGGCAGAAACCGTAAGCTGTTGCTGCACCAGCAGTGCGCGGGCTTCATCCAGGTAGATGCGGCAGGTTTTTTGATCCTGCCATCTTCCCATAATCATGGTAGCTTCAAAGTTCTGTGAGGTTTGCCAGTGAAAAGTGGCACCTCCTCGGCGAAGGCCGTAGGGGAGGAAGGTGCCTTCTTCCAGCCCCAGGAAGACTACCAGTTTCTGGAATCTTGCCCGAAAAACTTGCAGCGAAGAGTTAATTATAGATTGATCGGTTGACCACGATGCCATGGCTGCAGGCAGCACGCGGCATAGAAAAGGGTCGAAGAGTGAGACGCTCTGCGCTCTCCCACGGGAGGTTTTGGTGTGTGGTAAAGCTACCACCACGTGCCCTGAGCGCAGGCAGGAAACGTCTCTGGGCCGCAGCCCGTAAATTTCAGCAGTGCGAAGGAAAAAGAGAAACTGGATGAGAAGTGCCACTGCAAGCCTTTTCTGACCAGCTGCAAGTGCAGCTCCTGCCATGGCCTGCACCATGGACCATGGGACAGGCGTGGCTCTGCAGGGCTTGTAAACTTTCATCCAGTTGGAGTATAATTGCGTGGCAGTATAAAGCCTCGACCTCAGTCGGGGGAGGAAACGTTTGAGGGCTGACACAGCAGCCCCAGCATACCCAGGTGAGTCACCCTCTTGAAAGGATTCATTCATGA